CCCCCCCTCCGCTCCTCACAAAACGCATGAAACGGACTAAAATTGTTTGGTTCGGGCCGATTGTAGACCGAGAGACAGCTGAGGGAGACGAGCTGCCGCTGCTGTTGCTTACTTCCTTTAACCAGCCCTTATTATTCTCCAATTTGAGACGGCCCTTGGGCCCGCCTGGTAGGTAGGCAACGCTCACTATGGCTTCCTCAACTGTTTACTCGCGGTTGTGCCTCTGTACGCCCGCGGCGACCAAGCCAAGGTCACCCACGCGGACCCATGCTGGCTGGCCCGAACGGCGGCACCTGCGTGCTGTGCGACTGTGCATCGGCTCGATCGAACCCCAGTCCAAAACACTCTATCACTCTGCTGTGATTGGCGGAAAATAATAGATGGTTCCGATAGTGCGCGTTTAGAGAAGAAGTAAGGAAATGAAGACCGGAACCAGTTCGAACATTTTATTCATTTTATAGTTTGAACACTGCAGTTCGGTTGAAATAACTTCCAGTAACTCCTTCGTAACGTTCAAAATTACTTTCTACTGGTTTTAGCTGTGATTTCAGTATGGTTCCGGTCCTGATTTCTCGATTTCTTCTTTAAACGCGCACTGTCGGAACCGTCTATTATATACAAATGCCGCTCGACGGCTTGTGGTGCATATAATATACTTGAGAAAATTTTTAATTTAACGAAAAAAACATATGATAAATAAATAATAGAAAATAAGTTTGTTTTATTACACTACTCTATGTTTTGGGTGGGTCTGGCCCTCGGCTGACCCAAACAACGACCTTTGGCCCTAGGAAGCACCTCCTCGGCGCGAGCGGATGACGGCGCGCACTCTGTCGCAATACCGACCTGCAGAACACACAAACCAAGTGTCAATATGTTTACTCAACCAAGCAACGTGAATTCTGGCATTTAAAATAACACGCTTACTTTTCACGTTCCACTCTTGTTCAGGACAGTTCTGAAACAAATATTTGTAAAGGTGGATACGGAGTTCCCAAAACGCGAGCGTGATTTTCACGCTAGGCGTGAT